GGACTCACTCTTTCCTTCAGGCTTGGTTTCTCTTTCTTGGTGTATGTAATGATCCTGGACTGCACAAAAAGGATCAAAGATGAAATATTCGATACGTTTTCTCATCATTGATAGAACTAAACAATGCATTGCAAGAAGAGAGTGGATATGGAAACATACAGAATGGACAAAAGGGCATATGGGCTTATCTAACGGAACACTGCAACAAGCAAACTTTTCTTGTCCTATTGATCCGACAAGACACAATCTACGAAGATGGAAAGACTTTAGAGTTATCTTTCTGGCAACTAAGCCCTTAATTTAAGGGAGAAAAGACAACAACCCACACTGTCCAGTCTCTTCTCCTCATCTACGTATGTGTTTATATAGCCGCCTCATGGCAATGTAAGGATACACACAAAGCTCAAAGAAAGAAAAACATCCAAGACATGTTAACATCATCAAACAAGAGCAAAAAGAAACAAAGGAAAACACAAGATGGGAAGTACCTAGGTGTGAGAAGGAGACCGTGGGGAAGGTATGCAGCTGAGATCAGAAACCCTTTCACGAAAGAAAGGCATTGGCTTGGAACATTTGACACAGCAGAGGAGGCTGCTTTAGCGTATGATGGAGCTGCACGCTCCATGATCGGAGTTCTAGCTCCAACCAACTTTGTCTACCCTGACATCTCCATGAACAGACAGCCACAACAGTCACAGCCATCATCAGGCAACAACTCTGTTGAACACAATGTGTGTTGGGGATCTTCCATGTCCTGTCTGGGGAAAGATCAACAGTTACAACCACCGGACAACAATTGGGTTGACCCCAATCTCTCTGGGGAATCTTCAAGATACTATTTTCTTCAAGAACAGCCACAGGACAACAACGGTGTTGACCCAAATGTACATTGGGTCTCTCCTTCCTCCTGGTTTCTGCAAGAGAACCAGCCTGTTAGCCTTATAAACAATGTATCACATTGTTATGATAACAGTAGCAATGGCAGACCATTGTTACTATCTGGTTATCAGGACATGGGTGAGCAGGGTAGTACAGACCAGATGAAGATAGGTCCAACTCCTAGTGATGAAGCTCCTCGCTTTGAATTTGATCACACCAAGTCATATCTTCAGAATCATCTTTTCAGTGACATGCCCAGCACTTGCAGTGATGACACGGATAAGGACGGTGTTCCTCAGCGTCAGGACGTTGGATCTTCCTCTTCTTTCTTCTGACTCAGTTGTCACTTTCCTCTACCCTTTTGCTTCTCGTCTGATCTCCACAAGCATTTTGATATCAGTTTTTCTTCTATTGGAGATCTGTATTTCTTGCTCTTAAATGGTTGCAGCGAACTCTAATGCTGTCTTTTTTTCCCCTTAACATTATAACTACGAATTCTTCGGTTGAAGATTAAGGGATTAAAAGAGACATTAACCAGGAATACAACTTCTGGATCAAAGAATATCATGATCCTTCAAGGAGATCAACTCTGCATTTCTCCTTTGCAAAATTTGTAAGGTTACACGGAAGCATCTCCAGATGCTTCAGTAAAAACAATCAGATCATCTACCTCCAGAATGCGAGGTTTCTGCAGATATAGTGGACAAATTTTTTATTTTTCTTCAGCTCCTTTCAGCCCAAAAAAAAATGAAAACAGAAGAAGAGATTTTCTTACCAATACGACGAAGAAGAACCATGATCAATCTTCTTCTTCTCCGGCTCAAATCTGGAATAAGTTCGTCGGAGAAATCCATTTCGTGCCTCCAACATAGGAAAAGTCTTTGCCTTTGCGTGTGACTAATTTTACCCGCCAGCCAAAGTCCCTTCTTTTTCTTTGGGTGTTCGTAAAAAAAAAGGGAAGAGGAAAAAAAACACAAAGGGAAAGGCCCAAAACGGAGCAGTAAGAGAACACGAGACAGGGCCCAACCAACGACCATAAGGATCGAAATCGAATTCACAGTTTCCCGACAGTTGATCGACGTCGTCTTCATTACCCGTCACCGTTTGGAGCTCTCGGGCATAAAAAAATCAAACCTTTTTTTATTTTCAGACCTTTAGAATTTTCAATAGTTGAAAAAAAATGGGGAGATCCTGTCTTTCTTCTACTCAACGCCATTTTCTTTGGTAAAGCTCCATCTCACCTTATCCCATTTTTTTCCCCCTAATTGTTTTGGGAGTCTTGCAATCTTGGCTTCTGGTAAAATTGGTCTGGATCTGAAGCTCTCTTCATAGGTATGCTCTCGTTTCTTCTCTGCCCTCTCGTTGATTCTTTGATAATAACCAGACACCCCGTTTATTCTTTGTTTTCCCACAATTGCCCACTTTTGCAGAAATTTTGTTTCTTTTGGTCTCTCCTTTCATAGATTCGTAGATTGTTTCAGACCCACGACTCATTGTGAAGGAAAATTTCGTGCTCTGCATCTGCATTTCCCTGATTACATATGTGAAACGGGTCTTCGACGTCTTCTCAAAATCCGTGGCCTTTCCTTTTCTTCAGACCTTCTATGAATGTCTGATCTTAGCCCTCGCAATCATCTATCATCTCACCAGTTAAAGCTCTTTCTTAGGTATCCGCTTAAAGGGCTATTGTCTCCTACAGATTAGGTGGGAAAAATCTCATGAGAGCCAGTGATTGGTGAAGGTTGTAGCTTTTAGATGCTCCCTTTCTGGGCCATTTCATCCTTGAAGCATGGGAGAGTGGGTGATTGGAGCTTTCATCAACATCTTTGGAAGCGTTGCCATCAATTTCGGCACAAACCTTCTGAAGTTGGGTCATAATGAGGTCCTCATTCTGTACTTTCTGATGCTTTTCCATTTACCTTTTGTGTTTTCGAATTTAGCACTGCTATTTCCTTCCTTCCGTTATAATCTTTCTGGCATGTTCTGTTTGTGTGTGTATTGCCAGAGAGAGAAGCAGGCTATGCAGGAGAATAGTGGAGGGAAGACGCCATTGAAGCCTATCATATACTTTCAGACATGGAGAGTTGGTAATTCTCTGGTCTTGCTCTGCATGTCATGGCCTTTCCTTACGTTTCCTTTTCTGGCGTATAACAATCTGTTTCTGAGAACAATGTTCTTGAACTGCAGGGATCCTATTCTTTCTTCTGGGGAATTGCCTCAATTTCATTTCATTTGGTTATGCTGCACAGGTGAGTATTAATGTTCAAAACTTGCCCACTTGCCTGGTTTGTTTGGATTTGATGATTCCTTTTGTAACTCTTCGGGGGGTTTTGTATGTTTGTACATTCTGTTTTGCAGTCTCTTCTAGCAGCTCTGGGATCCATTCAGTTTGTATCCAATATTGCATTTGCTTATTTTGTTCTGAAAAAAATGGTAACGGTCAAGTACGTCAAAATTCTTGCTGCAAATCTCATTTCATCCCATTGTATGGTCCATTACCAATTTGCATATGCTATTCTTCAATTTCTTTTATATGCATTGGTTGCAGAGTACTTGTTGCTACCGCCTTTATAGTCATCGGAAACGTCTTTCTTGTTGCATTTGGCAATCACCAGTCACCAGGTAAGTTCAAAGAGCAACTAACCTCTAGATACTGTTTCTATATTTCCTTCAAAACATAACCAAACATTACCTCTTTTGTGTTCAGTCTTCACACCTGAGCAGTTAGCAGAGAAATACAGCAATATATCATTCTTGATCTACTGTTTGATTTTGATTCTAATCGTAGCCTTCAACCACTTCATCTACCGGTGAGATTTACGGATGATTGGTTGGTTTTTTACTCAGGTTTTACATTAATTAGCAATGTGTTTAATATTTATCCGACCCTTTTATAATGGTTTGTTAACGTGGAATGTTTCAGGAAGGGAGAACTGTTATTATCTGTACCTGGACAGCAGCTTACACCCTATTGGCACATGCTGCTTCCTTTCTCATATGCTGTGGTCTCTGGTGCTATTGGATCATGTTCAGTGTTATTCGCAAAATCACTGTTAGTATGTGAATTTTCTGGCATTACTTTGTAATGGCTAGTAAAGTTATGAAGGTTTATTGGGGCACTAATTATATAGCTTTCCTCGTATTTCAGCTCGAACCTGCTGAGATTGGCCATGTCCAGTAGTTATGAGTTGAATAGCTGGTTCACATACTCTATGCTTCTCTTATTTCTTAGTACAGCCGGATTCTGGGTATACCACAATGCGACTTTTCCTGCTCTCACCGTGTGTTTTGAGATAAACCATGTTACTGATTATACGATTTTTTATGTTTGGTATCTTTGTTGCAGATGACAAGGTTGAACGAAGGGTTGTCTCTATTTGATGCAATTCTCATAGTTCCAATGTTTCAGATTGCTTGGACTTTCTTCTCCATCTGTACAGGATTCATCTACTTTCAGGAATTTCAGGTTTCTTTCCTGTCTTTCTCATACGCTCGATTCGTGCTGTTTTGGGCTGAGGGATCTGAATCGTTAGTTATGTCTCAGCGATATTAAATTACACGATAAGCTTAATTTAATCATCTTCTCTTTCTAAACAGGTGTTTGATGCTCTAAGAACAACAATGTTCATATCGGGAATGATGTGCGTATTCATAGGCATTTCCTTACTAGCACCCGATGATACGAGAGGCATTGAGGCGAAAGATAATCCAACTCTAGTTTCTGTGGTGTCAACTGAAGAGGACAGGTACAATGCTCTTCTCGATAAACCATTGCTTGGATGGATGTTTTACCATACTATCTAACTAAGCCACCCAAATCTTATTAACAGGTTGATACCGCCATCTGAAGACGGGCATTCCAAAGACTCAACAAGACAAGTTGTGCAAGGAATGTACATGAAAGTGTCCGGTCTTATTGCAAAGGCAAAGGTATGTATACATACCCACGAGCTTGGATGTCTTATTTGGTGGTGAGATTCCATGAAAAACGAGATAAGTTTGTGTCTTGTTGTTGCAGACTGCTTGTTTAGTATCGTTGGGATTTGGTGAGGAATCGATCAATGCATCAGCGATTCTCGTGATGCCAATGGTGTCATCGAAGATAACGGGGTTCAGAGGAAATGGCCTCGAACGGGCCAAGGTTCTTTCCATGAGAGGGGGGTCGGGCTGGAACAAAGTAGCCATGGACGAACAGGACTTAGAGTAGAATCAAGAAAACGAGTATCGAGAAAGTTACCGGGTAACATCTTCTCCTTCCTCTCCCATGCATAGTAGATAGTTTGACATTTTTTTAGGGTTTCATTCTTGAAGGATAACTTCTTAGCAACACAAAAACCATACACACGAGTTTGTATATTCTTGCAAGAACCAGGACATTATTGTATATCCTCTGAAACATTTGCCATGTCTGAACCAGGCAAGCTCTACATGAATTCAAGACAGTGATAGATAGATAGATAGATATAACAAGTTCAATATGACATGTTCAAATCGAGTTGGCAAAAAAAAAAAAAATGGAACCAGAACAATGTTACATGAGATTAACTCAGAAGTATTATCATCATCACTTCCAGTTGTTGGCAACAATGTCAGCCAAATCGACAACCCTCTGAGAGTAGCCCCATTCATTGTCATACCAAGCAATCACCTTAACCATGTCATCTCCCATGACCATGGTCAACGACGAGTCAACGGTCGACGACACATCGCTGCACCTGAAGTCCACCGACACGAGCGGCTCATCGCAAACCTCCAGAATCCCCTTCAGCTCGTTGTCAGCCGCTTCCCTGAAAGCAGCGTTCACTTCCTCGGCGAAAGTCTTCTTTGAAACCTGGACAACGAGGTCAACCACCGACACGTTCGGGGTCGGGACACGAAGGGCGATTCCGTTGAGTTTGCCCTTGAGGTTGGGTAGGACAAGAGCCACAGCCTTGGCCGCTCCAGTGGAAGTCGGGACAATGTTCAGAGCCGCGGCTCTGGCTCTCCTCAGGTCACGGTGGCTCGCGTCGAGAAGCCTCTGGTCGCCAGTGTAAGAGTGAGTTGTTGTCATTGTACCCTTGATAATTCCTGCCATTGTTGAACGATAAGCAGAGAGAGTAAACCAGAAAAGAGAGATGTGGTTCGAGAAGGCATACCGAATTTCTGGTCGAGGATCTTGACAAATGGGGCAAGGCAGTTGGTCGTGCAAGACGCATTGCTGATGATTGGCTCGGCTGGATCGTAAGCATCGGCATTGACACCGACCACGTAGGTCGGGATATCACCTTTTCCCGGGGCAGTGATTAGAACCTTCTTGGCTCCAGCCTGAATGTGTTTACCAGCACCTTCTTGGTCCACAAACACTCCAGTTCCTTCAATCACAAGGTCGATGCCCAAGTCCCTAAACCATTCATTTCACATTCTCCAAACGTTCATCGCTTATCCGGGTTTCTGTGGGGAAAGATTTGGATCGAAATTTGAAAAGTGACTTACTTCCAGGGGAGGTTAGCCGGGTTGCGATCAGATACAACCTGGATGATCTTTCCATCGACAGAAAGGGCTTTATCTCCAGAAGGCTTGACATCGGCGTCGAAAATGCCGAGAGTGGAATCGTATTTGAGGAGGTGCGCTGCTTGTTTGACACCTCCAGTGTCGTTAATGGCGATGACGTCGAGGGGAGAGTCCTTACGGCCATGCCAGCACCTCAAGAAATTCCTGCCAATCCTTCCAAATCCATTTATGGCCACTTTTATCTTCGCCTCCGTCACACCTTTCCTGTATCCGCCATTGTTGTTCCCCAGCTGCAACAAAAAAAACACACCAAGGAACGGTTAACAGCTAAAGCTGATCACAGCATTTCTATATCTGAAACTGAAATATGTTGTCTTGGTAGATGAATCTCGTATCCGGGCAATCAGTTCCAATGGTAAAAGCTTCAAACTTTATAATTTTAAAGACTGTGAGTGGACTACACAGGCAACGCCATGATCGAGAGAGGGAAAAAGAAGAAGAAGCTCACAGCTTTAGTCTGGAAAGTGACGAAGGAAACAAACTCATCAGAAGAAGGTTTCTTGGCAAAGGGAAGGCCTGATGAGCTGCGTAATCCAGAGAATTCTGAGAAACCCTGAAGCTGAAAACAGAGTAGAAAACGTTAAAACATACAAGGTTAAAAAGTAAGAATCCAAAAGAATGAGAATGAGAAGAAGAAGAAGAAACCTGGAGAGAGGATTTGGCCACAGAGAGAGTAGCCGAAGCCATGGCGACAAGGAATTAACTTTGAAGAGGCAGAAAGAGGAAGTGAAGCAACGAGTGGTAATATACTGTGTGTGTGTGATGATGAGTTGGAGACTGAGAGGATGAGATTTCGGATAGCTTTGTAACTCATTTCTATGGCTGTGGTTTAGTTATTGCCTCTCTCTCTCTCTTCACGTTTCCATGATCAAAATTCCAACTGTTATTATTCCTTTTCTCCTTGAAGAACATTTGTTTTGGGCTTCTCACTTGGGCTTTTGATCGTGTGGTCACAGCTTTGTCTCCTGCGAAAACAAGGAGAGCCACTGAAAATTTCATGGCTTTCCTTTCCTTTGTCCTGTCTTCGAACCAGACATGTTACATAGTTCTTGCTCCACTCATATGATGAAGAGGTGTACAGCGCATTCCCTGTAGTAAACAAACACCATATGATGAAGATTCTTGAACTGTGTAACCCATGCCAGGTTTCATAAGGCACATCTATTTGTCAGAAAAGCCATCTGAGAAGAACAAACGTATACATGAATCTTACACCTTCAAGGGGCATAAACAGGGGAGAGTTATGGAGCATCTGATCCATTTACTCAGCTGAACAGTCACATGTACCATCTAATATGAAAAACTTAGCTCATCTCCACAATGTTGAGCCATATAATCCAATCTCCCCTTCAGAAAAACCTTACCAGCATAGCATATATTGTAAATGACATGCAGAAGACCCTTCAAAGACGAGATCCGTAGACACATCCATACAATAGTTTCCCATGGGCCATAGCTTTGATCAAGTTATTCACAATTTTGAGGTACATAGTTGCAGAGAAAGATGGCAAGTGCTGAACCAAGATCTTCACAGTTTTGAAGTAGATATATATAGTTCCCATGGACAAGACTGACGTTAAAAGGAAAGATCAGATGATCAAATTTGCTAGAAAAACGATCATAAATGGACAACAGGGAAAG